AACTACCAAAATATATCAATCTGTTCTGTTAGTGACAGTGTTGTTATTGTTAACGACCAAAAAACATAAATCGGTTCTGTTAATGACATTGTTATTAACTACCAAAAATATTAATCTGTTCTGTTAGTGACAGCATTGTTATTGTTAGATAAAACTAAAGCTATTAAAAATCATTTTCATTAAAATAAAGCTAAAATAAAATTTTAATATTAGATGAAAAACTTAGGAAATAATAAAAAATAAGGAAAATAAGGAATAACATCACTAAAATGAAATACAAATAAAAGCTAAATAAATTTTTTTTTTTAACTAATAAAAATTACAACAATAACTAAAACAAAAGTATTTGAAATTAATATGTAAACTGAAAATATATAAATAAAAGTCCATTTAAAATCACATAACATTACTAAAACATAAAAAAAATTAAAACTGAAAATATAAAAGCAAAATCTAATTCAAAAATCACAAAAAAAATGTAACTGGACATAAATGAAAATATAAATGAAACATTAAAAATGAAAATATAAAAATAAAATATTAAAATATGAATAAATACAATAATAGAATAAAAATAATACTAAAATAACACTGGTTAGTGACTATGAAAGTTCTGCATTCTTTCAGTGTTAACATACTAGAAATGTTTTGCAGTCTGAGCTGCAAAATATTATACAATAAAGAGAAAAAAAACGTCTTTCTATTATGTTGTTTTGAACAATCACACAGTGTGATTAATGTTTCTCATGAACAAATGATCTGGTTATTTTAAATGAAACAGTCCAAAATAAATAATAAAAAAAGAATCAGTCAAAATGATCTGTTTGACTCGGTCAAATGAGACTTCACTGAATCAGAACCTGCATTAAACTCATTTATCCTCAAGCCATCGCTTTCATCACAACCATCTAGAAATGAACTGCTACTTAAAGCTCTGTCATTTCAGATAAATTATGTGTTTGCCTGAAACCTCCTCATCTCAGCTATCCCACAAGTCTGGGTTTAAAGCGTCAAAATCGCTGACATTCATTACATCAGCCCTGCTGCAGACTCTTTTAAAGCAGGACATTCAGGCAGTGAGTCATTTGCGAATATCACAGCACTTTAACACCATCAAGCTGTTCATTTTACAGTCAAAGTTGAGGCATCAGATTATGGATCTCTTCGCTCAGAGCGACAGGAAGAGGCAAACAGGGTCCGGCCTGAGTCACATGATCAGGACGCAGCCCAGAGAATCGTTTATTACCTGACTCACCACCTGCATATTCCCCTGTAGGCCTTTATGACAGCTCATAAACACAAGCACCAGGACAATTCAAGGGTCAAGCAGAGGCTATTTATGTCAGGAAGAGCGGCCATGAGGTTTCTGCTGGGGTCACGACTCTATTCACTCAAAAAACCTCAATATATGCTTTGATTTCAACTGCAAACTCAAACATATTGTAGAGACAACAGAGCAGTTACACTAATGCCAGGGTTCACACACTTTTAGACCAATGAACTTCCATGACTTACCTGGTAATGCACGATTTCTGAAAAGACGTGCACTAAAAACAAAAATAAAGGTGCCATTTCTAGATGTTGAGCATGAGAGCATTCATTCATAATCATTATAGAAAATATCCATGACTTTTTCAAAGTTTTATTAGTTTTCCAGACATTTATGATTTCTGGACAAGGAATTTAAGAACAACTGCCTTGAAGAGAAGCAATATCTATACAATAAATTTTTTTTAGAAATGAGCATTACAAAAAAAATATTAATACTACAGAAAAAAAGTGATCATATATATATATTTTTTTTTTTTGACAGTATCAATAAAATGCAATAAAATATTTATATATTAAATATTTATTTTATTTGATGTTATTTCTTTTTATTTTATTATTTTTATGTTATATATACTACATCTTTTTTTTGCGCCATTTTTGGACAGTATAAATAAAAAAAATGAATTAAAATGCTCTATTTCCAACTTTTACATGTAGTCAATTTGTTGCATGTTTGCCCATATATATTTTCATTTTTGTCATTTTTGACAAGATTAATAAAATACAATAATAAAAAATAAAACAAAAATAAATATCATTAAATAAAATAACAAAATAAATATATACTATAACTTGGCTTTTTGCCATTTTTGACTATAAATAGAAAAATAAAATAAAATTCTCTATTTCTGCTATTCGCAGATTTTCCATGTAGCCAATTTGTTGCATATGTTTTCCATTTATATATTTTTTGTCATTTTTTGACAGTATAAATAGAATACAATTTTTCCTTATAGCCAATTTAATGCACACATTATATTTGCTGTATATATTTTTCTCTTTGTCATTCTTGACAATATTATTAAAACAAAAAATAAAATAAAATACAATAATTCTTTGCTATTTCCTATTTCCATGTTTTTGCATTGTGCATTGTCCATATGGAGAGAGGTGATAACTCAGGTCAGATGTTTTAGCTGTCTTTATGAACACACTTCCACACTATACATGGCTAAAGCAGCCCAAAAGCCGAAGCTCTCACCGGTTCTGATGCATTCTTGCAGGCTCTGCTGCACATCCTCTGTGATCTGCCGCACCACGCTGGCGTTTGCAGGCACGTAGGCCAGCTGCAGGTCCTGGAAGCACAGAGGGAACGGCAGGTCGCTCAGAGCGAAGCTGTGGTAGTGCGTGGCATTGGGGTAGTTGATGAAGGACACCTTCTGTCGCAGGACGATCAGGATGGCTGAGAAGAGCAGCGGCAGAGCGATCTCCACCAGAGTGACCAGGATCTGACGCTTCTGCAGAGCGAGAGAACGAAAGAGGACGTCCGTGAAATAGACTGATGGCTAGTTAGACAGCTAGATATGCATGTATGGCAGATGCTAAAATGGGACAATGGTTACTTACATAGGGGGCGATGGATTGTTAAATGGTTAAAGTAATAAAAGACAAAACAAATAAAATAAAATAAACCAAGCGAAAGCAGGAACTGATAAAATGTAAATGAGTACCTTGAATGCAGTGTAAGCCGCTTTGGATAAAAGCATCTGCCAAATGCATTACAGTAAAATAAAATAAAATAAAATAATAAAAAGTAACATTTCATTACCATTGAAATTAATTGTTTGTGGTACAACTGAAGATTTTACAGTCATGATACTAGGCCACAGCTCTGTAATGTTAGCTATATTTCTATGAATATACTTCCATACTTATAAAGTATAATTAACAAATAAATAAATAAATAAAAAATATTATTGTGTTGTTCAAATGATAAATGTATAGCCTATATACATGAATGAAACTGTATATATATATATATATATATATATATATATATATAAAAATGGAAATGGTTTTTATCAGCTTCTATGTGCAAGCTTGTGTTAACAGGTGAATTAGTCACATTCATGTCGCAGATCTAGTGTCAATAAGCCAATGTGTTAGCGAGCAGGATCCCACACAGCACCTGGGGCTTGATCTTGATCGATGGAGAACTTTAGACCTCTGATCTGGGTCAGAAAGGCAGCGCTGTGTGCCATAATGAGGCATGAACGGCCCAGTGTTAACGCCTCGGCTTGGCTTGGGTTTCCTAGCAACAGCTGCGGCCCAGTAGTGTGCAAAGCCCTCTGTCAGGAGGGAATTGGGACGCATCCCACAGCACTTTGATCCAGCTCGATTGACTGTTTAGAAAGTTCACTTGTGATAGACTTCAGCTGCACACCATCGCACACAAGACGACAAGTGTGCGGAGCAAAGGTCTGACATAACGAGAAACAAAAATGCAGGCAAACACGCCCAAAGCGATGCATCGGCGTTAAACAGAGCGTCTGTTGTCTTGCGTTTATAAAAGATAGTCTCAAATCTAATCTAAATACGGGAAGGAACATAGAAGTCATTCAATACAGCCAAGTTAAATGATTATAGCAAAGTGAATGAGGTAATGATTAAATTCAACTCCACGCCTTTGTTTTGCTTGTGCGTTATTATCCGCCACAAACTAGTTGACACATTTCCTTGTATCTTTAAGATGGTAAAAGAGATTTGATTCTGTGTCTTGCTGTTCAAAGGCAAGATTGATAGCATTTCAACTAAAATATCAGGTTTCTTTAACTAAAATATTCGATCTTTATAGATTTACTTTGACAATTTTCACACCAAATGCACTCTAATGGGCTCTTCACACTTTAAAAAGTCATTTTTGATCATAATTTTGGATTATCTTGTTCCATTTTTCACTTCGCTCATACTTTGCCCTAAATTATTCTTCTGAGGTAGTTGAGATTTCACATTGCGTTTGTAATTCACATTCTTATCTGCATACTTACAAGGTTAATTAACATTAAGTTGATGAACAAAACATGCTGTGGTTGTCTTAATTATTTTAAGACGTGCTAAAAATACTGGATTTTAACATATTGTGGAAGTTTATGACAGCACAATACATGAATGTTTAATGAGGCTAGTTTGTGGTTGCCTGAATCAGCACTGCAATTTTTCCACACACTACACCTTTGGTGGCATAATTTGTGGGCTTTATAACCCAGGGTTAACTCAATATTTTTGCAGGTTTTATGAAGATACATTTAAGACCTTTTTGAGACCAAGTAAAGAAAACATAAGGAATAAATTCAAGGGAACACAATAAGTTAAAATGAACGCAATAAGTCAAAAATGTTCTCCAGTGCAAGATTCATTAAACAAGATACATTTATTTGAGACGCACGATGACATGAGATAAGACTCCTTGTTTTCTGAAAAAGAAAAACTGTTTAAAATAGACTTTATAATCTCAGTTAAGATCATTATTTGGTGTATTTGGTGTAACAGAATATGATGACATGCTTTAATGTTCAAAAAACACATTATTTTTCAAATACTGTACATTATTGTAGGTCCTCTATGCCCCGCCTCTCTCAAACGCTTCGTTTTCTACAAAGTCCCTCCTTCCGACAAGCGCAGTCTGCTCTGATTGGCCAGCTGACCCAGTGCATTGTGATTGGCCGAACACCGCAAGCACTCGTCGGAAATGTAACGCCCCTTACCATAATCGCGAGCTTCATCTTTCAAAATAAATGTAAAGACAGAGCCCGAAAGGGGAACAGAGTCGTGTGACAGACACAGTGATGAAGCTGGTCTCTCTCGCTCTCACACACACGCGCGCGCGTGCGTGCGCACACACACGACACGACACGCAAAAGTCCGCATTTGAACAGTCAATAGCAAATACTTAAACTAATAACAAAACAGTAGCTGATTCAGAAGCACCAGATTGTCATAGCAAAGTCAGAATGACCTCCTCATCTCCTCATCCTCCTCATTCATTTTATGGACGTTCACGAAACGTCCATAAAATGCATTGCTGTTCTGTTGTAAGTAATCTTAAACATTCCTAAATGCATCTACTTTCGGAAGGCCAAATAAAGTGCTTTTGCTTTCGCACTGAAACACACAGCGTCTCCCTGACATGCTGCATCAACACTAATAGTGAGGTAGATATGTAAAAACCCTGTAACTGTAGTGTGAAAAGGCCTAAATATTATATATACTACTGGTCAAAAATTTGGAGTGTGTAAGATATTTTTGATGTTTCTGAAAGAAGTCTCTTCTGCTCACTAAGGCTGCATTCATTTAATCAAAAAAACTGTTAAAAACAGTAATATTATTAAATAATTTTACAATTTAAAATAGCTGTTTTTTATTTTAATATATGTTAAAATGTAATTTATTTCTGTGATCAAAGCTGAATTTTCAGCATCATTACTCCAGTCACATGATCCTCCAGAAATCATACTAATATGCTGATTTGCTCAAGAAACATTTTTTATCATTATCAATGTGAAAACAGTTGCGCTGCTAAATATTTTCGTGGAAACTGTGATACATTTTTCCAAGATTTTTTGATGACTAGAAAGTTTAAAAGAACAGCATTTATTTAAAATATAAATAATTTATAATAGGCCTGGGCGATAAAACGGTATCGATACTTATCGACGGTACACCTTTTTCAATATTGATAGAAACATTTTTCGATATAGGCATATATATATTTATAGTGCTCTGAGTGACGCAGACAGCACACACAAACACGAACACATGCTGAAATGAGTGCTGTGCCTGCCTGTGATGAGGAGATTGTGAATAAAGAATGAATATTAGTTGAATTTAAAATAAACATTTGCATTTGAATGTTAGGAGTGGGTCAGGAAGCGTCATCAGTGGCGCACAAGATGCGGTGATATTGACGTAAGTGACGTGTTGCATTTTAATGTTTTGTTAGTCTAGCCCACGAGATGCGCCGCTGCTGCGTTATGCATTCAAAATATTAGAAAAATATAGAAGCTCAATGCGGAGAAGATCTTGAATGGGTTAAAACCGAAACCAAGGCATTCACACAGAACGCATATTCAGCGCATTTTTTAGACGGACAAATGTGACTGCTGCACTCGCGTCTCACATGTACAGAAAGCCATGCAAAGTTAAAACGGTTTAAACTTTTAGCATTATTTTGCTCATTGCGCCCTCGGGAGACAATTATAGACCTATACAATAAAGACCTATTTAATCTGCATATAAAACATTAGAAATTAGATATCGGTTTAATTTTTATTGTGTTTGATTGTTAAAACTAAAAATATTTTTTGTTTGTCTCAATAAATTGTGTTAATTATAAATACAGTGGTTAAATAAAAAAAATTCTATTGCTTTTTGTTTTAAAAAGGTTATAAAAAATGCCAATGATTATCGATACCGAACGATATGAAACATTATAGCGCTGATCATTTTTTTAGCTATATCGCCCAGCCCTGCACAAGTGGAGGGTGAGAAATGATGATAGGTTTGTCTTTTTTTGGGTGACAAATCCCTTTAAAGGGGTCATAGGAATATTGTTTTAATATATATACACATGCATGTGTGTGTATTTATATACATATACACAGTACACACACATATAGTACGTAAACATAAACGTTTATTTCGAATCGATTAATCGTGACTAATCGTTTCGCAGACCTATTTCCAAAACGTAAACGGTGCGGTGCCAAAAAGGCCAATTCAACCAACATTAAAGGTGAACGTGTCATCTCTCATCCCAATATTCAGATTCAAATTGTAGTAGTCTGTTAATATAAGTTACTATTATGAATTATGAGCTTTCCTCATATAATGAACACAAAATAACACATCTAAAGTGTCCCAATTCACCTGCTTTGTCCCTAAGTAAACTGCTTCTTTGTATTTCAATGTGTCACCGGTCTGTGAAGATTAATATGTAGTTCACCTGTCACAATGTATGTCTCTAGTAAACATACGGCAGGGTTCATATTACTGAGGTGACACAGCTTTGGAGCCTGTCTGTCTGGCGAGTTTATGCCATTATTCTGCACGGTCTGTTTTCATTTGCATTCGCTTCCATTGAAATGGAAACATTGTTTTCTATCAAACGTGCGTTGCGTTGCGTTGCGTTGCGTTGCTTTTGTCCGTCTAATGGATCCGTTTCCTTTCGCTTGAACGTTGCAGTGGTCTTGTGATTGAATCAAGAACTTGTTTACTAACCCAAATCCGACACATAAACACAATAGACGACGCGCAGCTCACCTTTCAGTCGTCTTTCTGTCCCGCACAGCGGCTCTTTCAGGCAGAAAGCATCGAGTAAATGTCCCGTCGGGAAATATCACTCATACGAGCGATGGTACTGAGGAGGAAGAAGAGGATAATAATGACATGCGGTGCGGTACATAGACTGTATGAAAAGCGGACACAACAAACGCGGTCACGTGATCTCCTCCAGCTGGATGTCAGTAGGTCAGCTGCGCGTAACGCTCACTAAATGAAAATTAACAGAAAAATGCCGAACACAAAAAGGCGTTATCTGCAGTTATTGTCCTGTCTTTAATGACTTGCCCTTCTCAAAATGATCTCTAGCTTGAAAGTATTCAATACCTTCCTTTTTATTTGATGTGTTATTATTTTTAATTGATCATCGTTTATTATTATTAGCTGTTACTGTCTACATATTGTCTTTTGAGCATTAACACGAGTTTCACAATTTGAGTTGAATTACTGAAATAAATGAACTTTTCCACGACATTCTAATTTATTGAGATGCACCTGTATAGTTATTTCCATAAATAAATATGGTTATTTTATGCATTTTTTATATATGTTTCAGCTATTATATATATATTATTTATTTTAATAGTTATTTTCCATTTCTGTTTAACTCCCTGGCTGCATTGTTGTAATATTGTTTGAATCATTATATATATATATATATATATATATATATATATATATATATATATATAAATATATAACAGCAGAAACATTCATTTGTGTGTGTATGTATGTATATATAATATATATATATATTTTTTTTCCTCACCTCAGGCGTGGTATTGAGGGAGGGGTGAGACCCTTGAGCATGGCACCGAACCCCCAACTGCTCCCCGGGCGCAGCAGCATTGGCTGCTCACTGTGTGTTTGTTCACTGCTATGTGTGTGCACATATACATATATATATATATAAGCAAACCATGCATCATATCAAATAAAAAAACTAATACAATTTGCATTTTATGTGTTTGCATTGTGCCTTTACCAGCTGAATTTTTAAAACCATGCAAAAAATATACCCGTTTTATCAGCAAGGATTTGAATAACGCATTTGCATGTTCCAATATTATATTTTTTACCTTAAAACATAACTCAATCATGTAATCAACACATTCACATTCAATAGTTCACATTTAACCATGCAAATTTTGTATTCCATTTATGCAAATATTCAGGTACAACAGACCCAAAAAAATACCTTATATTATTACTTGCCTATAAGGCCCTTAATGGGTTAGCTCCTGCGTACCTAACTAGTCTTCTACCACGCTACAATCCATCATGCTCCCTAAGGTCGCAAAACTCTGGACTTTTGGTAGTACCTAGGATATCAAAGTCCACTAAAGGAGGTAGAGCTTTTTCGCATTTGGCTCCCAAACTCTGGAATAGCCTTCCTGATACCGTTCGGGGTTCAGACACACTCTCTCTGTTTAAATCTAGATTAAAGACACATCTCTTTGGCCAAGCATTCAAATAATGCATCTCATAATCTTTTACTGCAGTCATACTCTTTTACTGCAGTTATATCTAATCAAATGGACATTATTATTCGTTAGTTTGGGTTACACAAATCATTTTTGCTTGGTTGGAACAGCAGCTACGCTAATTATGTTTGTATTTGTTTCTCTGTCTTTTGCCACGGGATTAACATCCCGTGGTAACTAGGATTTACACAAGCTTCAGTCTGGATCCAGAACACCTGAGAAGAGATGATGCAACCCCTCAGAGGACCTCAGATGATGCCAACCCTGAAACAACATACAGAACTACCACATTTTGCTATAAGTTTGATTGTATCATATAATAATTGCTGTTAATATTGTTCATCGTCTGTTTTATTACGTCTTAAATTGATTTTTCCGTACTGCTGGTTCGTCTGGTCAGAGGAGAACTGGCCCCCCGACTGAGCCTGGTTTCTCCCAAGGTTTTTTCTCCATTCTGTCACCGATGGAGTTTTGGTTCCTTGCCGCTGTCGCCTCTGGCTTGCTTGGTTGGGGACACTTCATTTCCAGCGTCATATCGTTGACATGATTGCAAAGATATTATTTAAACTGAGCTGGATGTTGACATAACTGAATTCAATGATGAACTGTCTTTAACTGAAAAATGAGTGTTTACTATTGTCACTTTGCATTATTGACACTATTTTCCTAATTAATGCTGTTCAGTTGCTTTGTCACAATCTGTATTGTTAAAAGCGCTATATAAATACAGGTGACTTGACTTGACTTGACCTTAAAAAAAAAAATTTTTGTTTGTTAAATGTGACCTACAACTAGGTAATTGTTGATTAACATCATTAATCTTTTAATGAAACCAGTGTTTAACAACTGCTTGACCAGCAACATGTTCACGAGGTCACCAAACCACAGTGACAAAGTGTGATCTTCAGCGATACTAAATCAAAACGGTGTAAAATATGCAGTGATAGACATGAAATGGTTGCAAACAACAAGTTCCCATCAGTATGCAAGAGAAACACTGCGGGCATGCAAATGTAAATACTGCATTGTTTTATTGTGGTTTTGAGAATATAACAAACACGTCTGTTTTCAAGTTCACATGGCCTTTCACAGCTTCATACATTTATATATTTACACGTACACAAGAATTCATTATTTACAGTTGCAATCCTTAGTGATGTTTAACATACAGTACCAACAAGACCTGCACAAAAATAATAACTTAATGCTTTTAGTGTCATAACCTCAAACAGATGAACACGGTTGAACACTCACAAATATATATATGTACGGTTGATTGTTCAAGCATATATAAAAGGTAAAACATCGAGACTTGTTACGAAGCATCATTTCGATTTTCAGCATTGGGTCATAAAAAGTGCTCGGAATCTCTCGAGGTCATTATGAAAAAGCATGTCAAACGATCACATTCATCGGCTGTTGCATTGGATCTGTCGTAAAAAGTATGTGAGAAATTCATACAGCTTTACTGTACGTTTACAGTTTTCTATGCAAGCTCATTTCCACCACAGGATTAAAAAAAAAGGGCAATTGCAACTTTTTATGCCACTATTCTATTCTTTTTTCTCAGAATTGTGAGATACAAGTACGCAATTGAGAGTTATAAAGTCAGAACTGCGAGATATAAACTCGGAATTCTGACTTTTCCTCGTAATTGCACATTTAAATATTTTTCGTACAATTGCAAGTTTATAGCAATTGACTTTTTTTCTCTACACAATTGTGAGGTTACGTCATGCTATCGAGACTTGTTTTCTCGAAAAAATATAAAAAAGTCTGAATTTTGAGATATAAATTCATAATTGTGAGGGGAAAAAAAAAGTCAGAATTCCGGGGTTTTTTGCCTCAAAATTACGAATTTATATTTCACAATTCAGACTTTTCTTACAATTGCGAGTTTTTAGCTCGTAACTATTGCAATTGCAAGTTTACATTGCACTATTCTGACTCCTTTTCTCAGAATTGAGAGATATAAACTCACAATTGTGAGTTTTAGATTTCCCCTCGCAATTGCAAATATCTCTCACAATTCTGCCCTTTTCTCACAATTGCAAGTTTACATCGTGCAGTTCGAAACTTAAAATTGTTCTTAATATAAACTCACAATTGTGAGTTATAAAGTACAATTCTGAGGAAAACAATTTAGCTCAATTCTGACATTGCGCGTTTACATCTCATAACGTTTAAAATACTTCAATTCTGAGAAAAAGTCAGAACTGCGAGATGAAAACAGGTCAGAATTGTGAGAAATAATGTTGCAGTTTTTTTATTCCGTGTCGGAAACAAGCTTCCATAGGTTTCACAGGTCAAAACATCAGTGGCATCAGGCAGAAAAACAGTATGAAAATAGTTAATAGTGAACTTTGGCAGAAGATTTGTGGCGAACGCAAAGCAATGCGCAAATATAAAAACATGAGTCGTTCAGTCCAGTTCCAGATAAATAATCAAAATACGCGACGAGAAACATCCATGTAAACGAACCAGTTTTGTTCAGGCAGTGCACTTGTCAGCATGAAACTTCATGGACTGAGTGGGTTTTCTCCGTAGCTGCAAGTAACTTCGTAAAAAACATATTTGATAAACTTTCAGTCCTTTTATGTAAACAGTATGCTTTTTAAATTCGAAGACGTAACAATGTACACAAGACTTCAGAAACAGTGACAGTTCCAGTGATTTTAACACATTTGAGGCATTAATCCCGTTGCTTGTCAACAGCAACAGTCGGGCGAAGGCGCTCCCGCCATCGGGAGCCGAAGTCAAATGCATTATGGGAAGGAAAAAACATGACCTTTGTTCTTCTAATCGTATTTAAAGCTCAGAAATTGACATTTCAGCCGTTTTATCTCACTCTCGCTGCTCTGAGATAAGGACCATCAGCACCCGTGAACCAAAGTGATCCTGGCGGGCGGCCAGGAAGTGATGCGTTAAGGGACGACAGCTTCCTGTCAATCAATCAGAGGCTAAGAAAGGCCACGTTGGCTGCGCCCTCGTCATGCTCTGCCTCTCCTCCGCTGTGCGCCGCCGTGTTTTTCCTCTTCACCTGTCGGAGAGTCCTTTGCGCGGGCGGCAGCAGGAGACAGAAACCGGCGGGATTTTGGGGAGAGACCAGAGAGGAAGAGACGGGCGGACTGGGAATGCTTTGGATGGACGAGTAGCCCGAGCTGAGGTGGTCTGTGCAAAAGGTGCTCGAGGAAGAAGAGGAGGAGGAGGAGGATAGGTGGCGTGTCCAGGGTCTGCCGCTCCCACCCGTCGCCGCCTCGGTGGGCTCTTCACAAAGGCTGTCGTCATTGCTGGAGAGCACGCAACAATGCGTCTGTTTGTCCGCGCACTCGACCGCCGGCTCCATCTGCACCTCCATAGCCGATACTGTGGCAGAAAGAGATTCGGTTACTCATCAAACGGCCTTTTCAAACTTTAATGAGTGGGACTGGAGAGGTGCTTGGACAATTCAAATGTCATGAAACTTAAAAGAAATAGCCATGAAAATTTACATAATTTATTTTTGCTCCCATTTTAGTATTTTCTTTTCGCACATCATGCACAAAGCCTGAGCTTCAACAAGATTCTGTAATATTTTACAAAACGGCATAAGTTACCCATACAAGCGGCGTGCTTTATTTCAAGTCTTCTGGAGCTAAGCTTTGTGTGAGGAACAGTCATTTGATTATAATGATCACATTTTTAAACACTTTCTTGAAGGTGAGTGTTTTCATAATTTAATTAAAATTATTTTAAATGTTTAAAATATAACAAATTGAATGAGAATATTAAATTAGTAATACATCGTGTAAACAATTTAACAAATAAAATAATCACATTTTAATTTGTAAAAAATATTTTTCAATGAATGAAACATTAACAATGTTATTATTAAATTAATTAAATAATAACTTTAATTTATTTAATTTTAATTAAAAAGTAATTTGTTTTGCAGTTAATTTAACAATGAATGAAACAATTATGAATGTTTTTATTAATGAATACAACTGTTTTAATAAATAATTTGTCGTCAACTTAATTCTTTTTAAACATTTCAATAATTCAAACTTTTTAAATATTTCTAATAGGGGTGTCCCCGACTAAGGATTTTCATAGTCGAATTGGAATTTTCGAATCTTGCTGATAGTCGAATCATATGTTTGGGGCAAAATACATTAACAAGAGTCAAGTCAGACATTCGACAGCCATAATTACTGACGTTAACACACAGGGAAAATGCGAAACTGACGCCTCGCAGATACAAACGGTAAACATGTTTTATGTTTTGATTAAAAGATTGTTAACATTAAACATCAGCGAAACCCTAAGAATTCACAACATTTTTTTACAATAGTGCTCTCATTAGGGATGCAACGATTATAGATTTTGTTGGTACGGTTATCGTCTGAGGAATAATCACGGTTTTACGATTATGGCGATTTATGCATTTCACAACATTACTAATGTATAAAATCACATGAACACTCTTTAGATATTAAAGCGGTTTTTTTGTTGTTGCTGGCTTTTGAAACAGAAATAACACAGTAACCAACAATACAGCACAAAATAATAATAAATAAAAGACAAAGAAAAGTCCATCTCTCCCACTGGAATTTATGACATTCATGTTAGTATTTCTCTTTTGAAAATAACAAATGGAAATAGATCACAAAAGTATTTAATGTTTTCAGTTCGTACATTCTTTACATTTCTTTTGGACCTGGGGTAGAGAATTTGGAAACATGGTGAAAAAAAAAATCTTATGAATAATACTACAACAGGGATAGTAAATAACAAAGTTAATGAAGTATTATATATAAATATATATTAACTTTATCCCACAGGGGAAACTGTTATTAATGATGGAAATAAACTGAAATATTATTGTAATCAACTGTCATCCATACATATTAATTTAAAAATCTTTATAATAATTCATATGATTTTTCATGTGGCCTGAGAAAATCTATTATCTATTATTTTGGTTTGTGAGATCGGAGATCGCGCTGCACACGTGTACAAACATTCAGGAGGACACAAACTTCTTGAGAACGCTGCCCTGTGACTTTTATTAATAAAATAGATTAATAGCCTACTGGAGAGACGCAC